AGGACTCTTTTGAAAGACGAACAGCAGTTTAAGGAGATTGCATCACCACCTCATGAACTAAAGGGAAAAAATACAAGCTGTTTAATCATGTCTTTAGGAAGTAATCTATACCACCCACTCCCATTTACACCCTTTGAACTGGAACAGCAGTAGGGAGGTCCCTTTAAGGCATCCATCTGTGGCCACTGGTAGAACCTCCCTGGTGCTCTTCTGGATTTGCAATGTCAGGGGGCAAGGGGTGAGTTCAGGGGCATTCATGCTGGGACACAAGGCCAAATGTGGTGTAGATGCACCACAAGTTTCACTGCTTGTTCTTTTTGTTCAGTCCTGCTGAGAACAACATTTCCTTAACATTTTTAGGGGGGGGGGAAGAGACTCTCACACAGCAAAATCAATCTGCAAATAGTTTAATATGTCATACAACATTTCCAACTGTTAATTCTTTTGTGAAAATATGAAGACTAACCTGAGATTATTTTGAAATCATTCTGAAAATGTATCTTATAAGCAGCATTAGTTAGAAAGTAAAGGGTGTTTTAATGCATTCTGAGCTTTGTGTAAAAATATATGGATTCAGGACACTAAAAATGTCTTTAATCTTGGTTTTCGGCAATGACAGAAATCAGAGGGGAAAAAAATTATTGTATACATTTGCATTGACCTCACATCTCACATTGCCATGCTGTGGCATGACTTTACAGCACAGCAGAACTGTCTCACATTAAAAGCTGATCAAGTAAAAAAATAAAATTGACAAGTAGAGGATTAAAACAATGAGGATACATATCCTTCAGTAATCAACTTTATTTTTTATCACTGCTGCCTCCTGCAGAACCTGCATTGTTGTCCCCCACAGCACAGACCTTACTACCATCCAGCTCATTAAAAACACAGCACTTCTAAAAACTTTTTAACAATGAGGTCAATGGGAATGAGATTCCACGTAACCTTGATCCACTCACAAAGCTTGCCCTATTTCTAGTCACTTAGACCTTCTCAGCTGTGGTCAAACTGTGGTTATCACTTGCTCTTCATTCTGCATATAGATGTTTCATGTTTGCTTTGAAATAATTATTTCCTGATATCTAACAGCTGAAGCGTGTATGTTGTCCTTCCCAGTATTGGTCTATGTTTCTATCTTTTGTCTGTTTTTTCATTCCCTCTGCATCAAACCTATCCCATATGAGCCTGTTTCTTAAATGCAAAACAGCACCAGGTCGGTATTCCCATACACACTTAACCCAGACCATCACTAATGTGTTGCCTATCTATCCTTTTCCATGTGCCCTCACAATTCTCCCTTGTGACGTCTCTTTAGAGAAGGTTTTCCTTTTAAAAAAAAAAAAAAAAAAAAAAAAAAAAAAAAAAAAAAAAAAAAAAAAAAAAAAAAAAAAAAAAAAAAAAAAAAAAAAAAAAAAAAAAAAAAAAAAAAAAAAAAAAAAAAAAAAAAAAAAAAAAAAAAAAAAAAAAAAAAAAAAAAAAAAAAAAAAAAAAAAAAAAAAAAAAAAAAAAAAAAAAAAAAAAAAAAAAAAAAAAAAAAAAAAAAAAAAAAAAAAAAAAAAAAAAAAAAAAAAAAAAAAAAAAAAAAAAAAAAAAAAAAAAAAAAAAAAAAAAAAAAAAAAAAAAAAAAAAAAAAAAAAAAAAAAAAAAAAAAAAAAAAAAAAAAAAAAAAAAAAAAAAAAAAAAAAAAAAAAAAAAAAAAAAAAAAAAAAAAAAAAAAAAAAAAAAAAAAAAAAAAAAAAAAAAAAAAAAAAAAAAAAAAAAAAAAAAAAAAAAAAAAAAAAAAAAAAAAAAAAAAAAAAAAAAAAAAAAAAAAAAAAAAAAAAAAAAAAAAAAAAAAAAAAAAAAAAAAAAAAAAAAAAAAAAAAAAAAAAAAAAAAAAAAAAAAAAAAAAAAAAAAAAAAAAAAAAAAAAAAAAAAAAAAAAAAAAAAAAAAAAAAAAAAAAAAAAAAAAAAAAAAAAAAAAAAAAAAAAAAAAAAAAAAAAAAAAAAAAAAAAAAAAAAAAAAAAAAAAAAAAAAAAAAAAAAAAAAAAAAAAAAAAAAAAAAAAAAAAAAAAAAAAAAAAAAAAAAAAAAAAAAAAAAAAAAAAAAAAAAAAAAAAAAAAAAAAAAAAAAAAAAAAAAAAAAAAAAAAAAAAAAAAAAAAAAAAAAAAAAAAAAAAAAAAAAAAAAAAAAAAAAAAAAAAAAAAAAAAAAAAAATCACACAAGCCGACTTCATTCCATCACCAACCACAATGTGATGCTGCTTTCTGTACCTGCCTAGTCTTCCATGGCCTTTGCTCCACTCTCCTTTCCTTTGGTGTCTGATCCTCATATCCAAACTGCCATCTCTCCCACACACATGCCAAAGTTATTCTTCAAGTTCTGGGTATTGTGCTTCTGCGCCATAAAATGCTCATCTAGCACCACTGTTCAAAAGCAGTTTCTCCTTTGCCTTCCCCCATGCTTTGTTGCTGCTGTACCTCCTTCCAATTTCTTCTGCTTCTCTTGGTACTTTACATTTTTCACTGACACTGACAGAACATAACTACTGTGTCCCACTCTTATTTGCATATGCGCACAGGTTTCACAGCCCAGGCACTCTCATGAGCCCCTACTGTAATCAAGTGAACCACAAGGAACTGCAAGGGGATCAGGAAGCAAGTCTGTTGCTGCTCCTTTGCTGCTGCTACTCACTCAGCA